TGACAACCCCCACCTAAAGAGGTTTTAGCAAGTGCCAAATTAAAATCATCAGCACCAAAATAATAAGTGGACAAATAGCATTTCAAATCCTCTCTGGATGTGTTTAATATTAATTTAGCAAACAAATGTTGAGCAAGCAGAACATAAACTTAGATTCCAGCTGTTCGCTCTCCTCCCATCCAAAATAGGCCATTTATGTGATTCGTGTAGATCCAATGACTTTTTCAAAAGGAATTTTGCAACCACGATTTACTTCTGCGTAGACTCCAGCAGTGACTCAGTCCAGGGTCCGCATCCTTCAAAGGGCGTGGCCTTCGCACCCTACGAAGCCATACGGCCGCAAAATGCCGAACCCACGAGAAGAGTCCAGCTGCAGCCTGCAGAGAGACGTGACGGAAGTTGAACTTCCATATGGTTCGTCCCAGAAGCCACCGCGCACAAAACGTGTTGACGTTTATCTCGGCCACCTGGCCTACGCACAGCGCGAAGACGATAAAGGCTTTATTTTTGAGGTTGTAACTTGCGCCCAGCCGAGTTGCATTTAACTAATTCCACAATCCTATTCTTTAAACAACATAATGCGATTTTATGCATCTCGTTTTTTTTAACATTTGTGTAGGTGGCTTTTGGAGTGAGTTGAAATCCAATACTTACGTTTATAGGTAAAATCCGAATGGGCTCAACTCCACAGCTTACGCCGTAGTATACGCTGGGAAAATAACCGGCGTGTAATGAATCTTGGGATACCTTGGGCTGCGAAGGATCCAGCCGTTGGATCCTCCAAACGGAGGAAAAGAAGGCCGCATTTGAAGGAGCCTTCAGAATTGGACAGCCTAGTCGCACCGACTGTGACAAATACAACCTTTGAAGGATTGAGACACAGCTGTAGTTTTAAAGATGCTGTATGTTGTGCAGTTGTTTGTTTCCAGAGGTAGAGAGTTCAGAAAGTCTCTTAGAAATGTGCGTGAGTTAAACCAAAAGGCTTAAAGGACGAAGTGCTCTGTAGTTTTTAAAATGAGACACAGGTAAATATAGTTTTTAGGCTTCTCATACTGAATAAATGATCGCCCAGTATTGATAATGATTGGGTTTGTTTCTGTCCTAAAGCTCGTGCGTCAGGGATCGGTTCCAGAAAGCAGGTTAACTGAACTCTGACTAACCCTGAACTCCGAGCTCAAGAACCTGAGATGAGTTTTCAGTTTCAGAACAGCTGATCGGAGTCAGTTCAACTCTGAGTATGTTCACTTTGTCCATGAGTCAGAATATTTTCACATCTAACTCACTTTATTTCCACCCAACAAGAGCTGGTGACTGTTGGAACAGAGGAACAACTAACCAAGACGGTTTTATTTAGTTTCTGTGGAGTTTGAAGGAAGTGTGTTTTACGACGAGTTAACGAGGCGATTAGTTCAGTGAATTCAGGAAGTGCAAGGTTGCATTGATAATGAAAACACGTGTAAGAATATTTTCTTTGTGAGTTTATTTAGTTTATTTTTTTAGACTAAAAAAGCTCAGAGCTTCTTTAACGTAGCAAACTCACCGCTCGCACACATCTCTCAGCTGAAACTACGGGGGAGGCCTGAGCCGTATCAGACTATCAAGTGGTATTACAGGACAGGCCGTGACTAGCTGCAGCATGCTAACTTCAGTAGATATCTCTGCAACACACACAACTGTTACTACTTCACATTCTATTTTTCCCCCCCATGTATGTTTTATTTGAGCACATGGCATTTATACAAATACAACCGTACAGATCTGTTTATACAGCCAAATGGACGTACAGTAGATGGTCACAACATAAAGCTCCTTTTTTTTCTTCTTTAGTTGTAATGAACTTGTATAAATCAGGTTGGGACATTAACACATTAAATAGAATAAAAACAAAATACAGGAAAAAATTTTATGAAAATCGATCCCACCCTACCCCAACCACCCTATCGCTCGCTACTCAGCTGATGTCAGAGGGAAAATATTACTCTTGGGTCACGTGTTCAAGATAAAGAGTTAGAGGTGTCCACATCATGTGAGGAAGTTTGTCCATAAGAGTATATCTTATTCTTTCTAAGTGTAGTGTGCTTGGGGCGGCGGTGGGTCAGGAGGTAGAGCGGGTTGGCTGTTATTCGGAAGGTCGGCGGCTCAATCCCTGGCTCCCTGGTTGTGTGTCGAAGTGTCCTTGGGCAAGATACTGATCGCCGAATTGCCCCTGGCGGCTGTTCTGCCAGCGTATGAATGAGTGTGAATGAGTGGTCAAAAAGACTAGAAAGGCGCTATACAAGTACGGCGCATTTACTCTTACATTTGTGAGGTCACTAAGCCACATCTTTGTAGTGGGGACTTCTTTTCTTTTTCAATGTCTAAGAAGCAGTTTTCTTTGCAGAAATGAGGCTGTAGGATAGAAAACATTGCTGAGTATTACTATACTATTTCAAAGTATCGTCGTATTCTCCCAAGATAATAGCGTGTACTTCGGGTTTCAGCTCTAAATGCAGCATTCTAGATAGTAATCTGAAAATATTTGTCCAGTAGGTTTGGACATGAGGACATGGAGCAAAGTGCATTGTTAGAGCAACGATGGATGTTCTCCAAACCTTCCTTCCATTGGATGTCTGATATACCAATGCCCATTTCTTCTTCCCACTTACTTTTTATTGGAGTGGAAACAGCTGGGTTGATGGATTGTAGGATGTCATATATGCGAGATATACATTTTTCAGAGCAAGGTGAAAGCTCGAGATAACTATCAAGACTGGAGCCTCAAAGTCTCAAAATTATTTAGATGTTTTCTCACATAGACCAGTGTTTCCCACAGATGGACAGCGTAACTGTGGTGGGGGCAGTCGACTGTCACGGGTGTCGAATTTTGCATGCCTGCCGAGAATTGTATTAAAATGCATTAAAGTTCTGCTTTTAAATGCTATACTATTCTTTGTGGGGTTCATCAATAGTGATAAATGATCAGTATATATTTTATGAATGTTAAGAATCGTTAATATATTATTACACTTAGTAAAAGTACCATTTCTTGAGACTCAGCAAAAACATGTTACGTTAACCGCGTTCAAACAATGTGACCAGCGGTGTCCTAAAAGAACCTTAATAAGTGAATGCATAATTTGGCAAAACAGATGTTGTAGGCTACCTGCCGATATTTGCATCCACCTGTTTTCTCAGCATAAAAGAGCGTTACCTCCCACGCTGTGTATGCAATTCACAGCAGGCATTCAGAATTCGGCACAACACCTGCACTGCAAAACATCACTAGACCTTGTGGAAGCAAGGCCTGATCATTGTTCTAAGCTCACGCGGTGATACCAACCATTCAATTCATAGACGGGTCTGTTTTCCGTGTTTGCGAGAGAGAGAGAGCGAGCGAGAGGACGTGCCGAGCGAATATGCGCTGCGAAGTGCTGCAATCAAAAACGATTTCAAAATGGGTCTGCAAATTTACTTGGGCGGCTGTTAATCTACCTGGGCGTCCCGCCAAAGTAAAGCCTATGTGTGGGAAACACTGTAGTGTCTTACTTGCAAGAATCCAAAGAAGTTACTTCCTGGCAGTCTGTGTTTACTCTGTAATTTTCTTTGAATAGAGAGGAGTGGTATTTTGTATTCTGGATTCCTAAATATGTAAATTTCCCAAGAGAAAGGGGACATTCAATAGCCAGGACATGTTCTGTACTTCCATGGGCATTTGCACACTTTTGCCCCAGTTTATCCTGCATCCAGAGAAAGTTCAAAAGGAGTTAAGTTTATCAAATATTCGTTGAATAGTCATTTGTGGCTGAGTGATATAAAACAGAACATCGTCCGCATATAGTGATATCTTACGAATGTCATTTTCTGTAAAGTAACCCTGAATCAGGGGGTCTGTTCAGATACTCTTGGTGAGAGGTTCGATCGCAAGAGCAAAAATTAAAGGTGATAGGGGGCACCTATCCTTGTTCCTCTGTGCAGATTAAAATGGGGAGATGAGGATTCGTGCAGTTGGATTGGTATAAAGGAGTTTGACCACTGAGATGAATATTTTCCCAAAGTTGAACCTTTTTAAATTTTAAAACAGTCAAATGCCTTTTCTGCATATAGAGACAAAATGGCGAGTTCTTTGTTTGATCGATCAGTCGAGTATATAATAAGTCGTCGTCTAAGGTTAAAGAAGAGTTTCTATTTGGGATAATCCCAGTCTGATCTGGATTTATCAATTTATGTAAAAGGGGATTCAATCTGTTAGCAAGGACTTTGGAAAACAGCTTTCTGTCCTGGTTTAATTGAGAGATGGGGCGATCAGAGCCAATTTCTTCTGTGTCCTTACCCTTTTTATATAATACTGTAATAACTTCTTCAGTTAAAGTAGGGGCAGGACTCCAACGGCGTGGGTGAATATCTTATGTAGATTTTTTGTATAGCGCCACAGAAGGCCATTGGGACCTTATTATTTGTCAGTGAAGCTATGGCCCTTTTGATTTTTTTAACGTTTTGATTCAGGGATGAGATCTCTGATGGCCGACGATACTTCCGTTATGCATCTCTCTATGCTGGCAGACATTGGATTTTATTGAGTTTACCCCCGCACTTAGCAATAGCAGCCAGCGCTGTCTTGTTCGAGGGCTTGCCGACACTTTTGTCATCAGTTTCTGTTGCCTCTCATTCGGGCGTGTCCGAATATATTACTAGTTACTTATCACTCCTTAAAAAAGTAATATTACTTTACTTATTACTGGGTGATAAAAGTAACTAGTTACGTTACTATATTACTTTCCAGTGTTTCCCACAAAATGACGGGGGGGGTTATTCTAACGTTGGACAGGTTTGTGGGGGGAGCGCACCGGTGCCAAGAGGTGCTGCACAAATATATGCTCCTCAATACAGCTTCTTAATGAAAAAATGATTTTAAATACACAGGCTAGTAAAAATTTGGAAAATCAATATGTGGTGGTCTGCGTTGATAATTATCGAAATTATTGGCTAATTATGGAGTAAGAGTAATTATTATATTAAATGTATTGTTTTTGGTTTTACCGTTATGTAAGTTTCAGATACTCTTGAGACTACTGATAAGACTCTTCCAGGAGTAAACAGACTCACTTACTGTTGTGTTTCTGTAAGATATTGACAGGATAGACGACGAGCTATCTGAAGGTGCGTCTCACTCTTCTGTCGCTCACTAGCACCCCTCCATTTTATTTTGATCATGTTTTTTTAAATGTATTCAAAAATTTTGGCCAAATCTTACACACTGCACCAGAAGACCAGAAACTGTTAACTAAAACTGCCAAAACAGGTAAACAATGGAGGTCAGCTGCATTCACATAAATACACTGAACATTTAAAAAGTCATTCCTGCTGTAAAACAGGGACCGACATGATGGTGTGAGGGTGTCAGACAGTCTGGCCTCGGCCGTCTGGACGTCACAGCCCCTCGTCAGAGTCTGGAGGCTGAAACAGAAAGCAGAGTTCAAACAGTTCAGATGAGATGAAGAGAGGAAGACGAGCGGCTGATGAAGAGCAGCGGTCAGACTGTAGAAAGCTCTCAGGTCAGCCTGAGTTACCATGAAGTCCTGCTGCAGAGTCACAGCCTCACTGAGGTCACTCTGAGGAGGCTCAGCAGGAGTGGAGCTGTGATTCAGAGTTTGTCCTGAGGGGGGCGCTACAGGAAAGACCATGGGGCTCACTCTCTGAACTTCTCTGTCTTAAATAATATTAATAACAATAAACTTTATTCTTGTTGCACAATTCATGCTTGGATTTTTGTATTTTCATATATGTTGATTAAATATGTGTCTGACACGTGAAGAAAAACAGCTGTAGACACTAAATCAGACGCTACTCGATCCAGATCCTGAAGGTCCTGAGTCACAGATATTACACTGATCAGCTGAACTTATTGAACTACAGAAACCCTCTGGCTGGTGTTCCAGAGTGGAGCCTCTTAGGTCCAGATCAGACTCACAAACCAACAACACACACGTTTACTTTTGTGATCAGATTTAACATTAATCAACGACAATAATTCTGCTCTGACGTTTGTCATTTTAACATCTGGCTGTTTCCTCAGCTGCTCCGAGGATCAGCTGTGCTGTTGAACCCGGCGACGGCGCCGTGCCCATCAGGATCTGAGCCTGAGACTCTGCTGGATTACACAAACGGACTGACAAGAGCGATGATCAAGTAAGAGGCTTGTTGTCTGGGCAGAGAGCGGTTTATAACTGTGTTGTTGTAACCTGAGCTTTAATGTTGGGATTTCTTGCTTTGCTGAATAAATAACGGACCGCCGTCCTGTTTCCTGCTGTGTGCTTTGGTGCTCAGCGCTTTTCATCGTCGTATCGGTGCCATCGGTGTTCTCAACACTGTGTGTGAAGCGTTCCGAGGCTTCAGTGTTTAATATGAAGTGTTAAAAACATAAAATTTCTGGTGTGTCAGTGACTCACCTGCACTGTTGCATCTATCAGCTCTCTGCTGCTGCTTTCCTGCAAACCCGTCCTGTAAAGATGATGTAAAAATTAAATCTGAGATATTTACTCTGACTTTAATCAAAAATGTAATAACTTTTTTTTAAGTATAGTATGGTTTTACAATTGACCCTTCATTAAGCCCCGCCCTCCTTAGTTACTGTTGCTAAGTCCGACAAACTGTTGGCGCTTCCACTGTCTGCACTGCCCGGACAAATATTGTGAAATTTGTTGGAAAAAGTGATCTCAGAAAGAAGCAGAGTTTTGCATTGAAGTTTGTATTCAGGCTGTCAGACTGACGTGAAAAAGTAGCTGCTGTAACTATTACAAGCAGGAACAGCGTTCGACCAGATCTTAGAAAAATACAGCCAGAAAAAGTTTTTGCATTAGAGTCAATGGAGCGCAGCCACGAAAGTGTCGGACCTCAGTTAGAGTGAGGCCTATACTGGGCTGCGATTGGCCAGCTGTGTATTCGGGGCGTGGCTTGACGAAGGGCCAATTACAGAACAAACACTTAAAGACACTTAATAATGAGTTGAAGTAAAAGAAATTCTAAAATGTGTTTTTACACAAAGATTGCGATGGTTCTTGTAGGTGAACGTTACCTTCTGATGATGACGGATGCCACTATGACGATGAGCACAGAGCACAGAGTGAAGAGAACCAGACGAACAATCAGCAGAGGGTCAACTGATCCACTGTTGGATCCTGTGAATCAGATCAGACGGACAGGAAGCTGTAGGACATTAAAACAAAGTCTGAACTGATCAAACATCAGGAAGGCCCACTCTGTCCTCTGAATTCTGATGTGTAGTTTGAATCATCCGCCAGTGTAATTTGTAATATAATTGCAGATGTTCAAATGCCCACATTTTCAGAGCGTTGAGCTCCAGACTGTTCTGGCTGCACCAGGTCACCAGATGGTCGATCTCCCACCTGTCTGGATATTTCCAGCCGTCATCCTTTGTCACGGCAGCAGTCGCACCGCATGCCAGCTTGTTAATTAGACAGCTTATCAATGTCATCATCCATCTCAGTGTTTCATTGTTGACAAAGTCCAAAGACAATTTAGTAGACATCACCCAACCCTAATTTGAAAACCTTTATTTACTCTGCAAGTCATTTTTGACTTTCTTTTGTTGATGTTGTGATACAGGTCTTAAATTTCATGCATAGTGGTCTTAAAGAGGTCTTAAAGGTGAAACCTGCAGAGAGAGTATTTGTGACTAACACCTCTTCCTCACGTACAGCGAACTCTTCATGGACGGAGCGTGAAGATATACCGCAGTGATTTTGCTATGTGGGGAGGGGATGAGATTATTGTTTGGTGCTGCTGCTAAGGATTTCTCCCTCTGCAGATGAGTCATTTATTTTATTAGTTTAGTTATTTATTCTTAACCAACGTAATATTCTTAATTTTTAATCAGAAAGATGTGCTGCTGGTTCTCAACCTCCTAAATTATTCTTCCGCGTTGACATACGTTGAAATACGTCACAGAAAACTGCAGTAGAATTTTGCGGTGAAGGTGAAGCAAGTGTGCGAAACGTCTTAACAAAATAGAAGTGGAAAGAGCAGCATATTTTTGAATCGTCATGAATACCCCGGTGTGTAACACTGTAGTTCCGGGCAGGAAACCTTTCTCAACAACGGCGTAATGCTTTTCAGCACCAAGACGACTCTTCAGGAAGCTATAAAAAGCAGCAGAGTATCTAATGTGAGCTCTTTGAAAGAAGAGTAAAGATCAGACTGGCTTTAACTCGTGAGCTAAAAGAGCTGAAAAGCCGAGCTGAGGCTGAGTAATCCGTCCCTCCAGGATCTCGCAGGCCTTTTCTGTGATTTTGCTGCAGCTTTTCTAAAAAAAAGTTGATGTTTTTTGGCGTTCTTTGTGATGAAATTGTGGGATTAAGTGAAAACTTATATTTTTATTTTTAGAATTGTAGTTGAATCATTAAATCGGTCCCTCCTGGACCAGCTGATTCTGTCCTGCAGCTGAGCGGGATGCAGCAGCCTGTGTCTCAGGGTCTCGCCTGACGTCCTCCGTGTGTTTCTGCCACTCTCCACTTCCCACACTGTTCTTCAGTAGATGATTTCCTTTATGTTAGACCACAACGCTGCACGTTCTGCTGAACAGCTTCCCCGCTTTGGTGAAGATGCTCCGGATCCTGGTCTTCACGGTCCGGTTGAGACTTTGCTCATTTGTGATACGTCTTCTAAGCAAGGAAGTGAGTTTGCTGACGTGTGACATCGTTTAGCAGGAAACAATCACACTCAGATGACACAAAAACTCCATCTGACGTAATGTTGCTTTAAGTTAACAGTATATTTACATTTCACCAGATAAAAACTGAGCAAACAAACCTTCCTCCACCTGCAGGCTGTACGGCAGGGAGAGGCTGCTGCTGCTGGTCTTCAAACCACAGGTGTACTTCCCAGAATCCCCTGCAGTCAGGGGCCCGAGCTGGAGGGCGGGGCCAGACTCTGAGAGGGCGTGGCCATCTCTGTACCAGGTGACCTCCAGTTGGTGGAAGGTACAGAGTGCAGTGCAGTACAGAGTGACGGTTTCACCTCTTCTCAGCTCTCCGTCTCCTCTGGAGCTCTTTATCTGCATCTGAACATCTGAACGAGTTTAAAATACATTTTTATTGTAAAAGTTCTTTACTCACATTCAGCACATCGGTGTGAGTGATGTGATGTTTAAGACGTGTGAGAGCTTGAAGTCATTTAAGGTCACTCACTGATGTCTTCAGTTAGTTTATTTGTAGAGCTGAATCAATTAGTTTGAAATAGTTTTGATAAAGGATTTATTATAATTTGTTTTTTAAGCACTTGAATGTGCAGATGCTGCGTTTCGTTGTCTTCTCTGACAGTAAACTGAACATCTTTGGGTTTTGTTTGCTGGTTGGACGAAACAAAAGATGATTAGATGTCAGTTTGAACCGTTTTTTTACGATTTTCTGATATTATTGAGAAAATAACCAGCAGATTAATCAATAATGAAAATGATCGTCAGCCTTTTGATTTGACAGCACTTTAACCATCTTAGTAGCAGTAGTTGCAGGGGCGACTGTAGCTCAGCAGGTAGAGCGGGTGGCCCGTTAATCGGGAGGTCGGCGGTTCAATCCCTGGTGCTTTGAGTGAGTAGAAAGGTGCTATACAAATACGGAGCAGTTGTCAGAATTAGAATCAGAAACACCAATTATAGAAAGTTGGTCAGTAGGAAATATAAAGAAAGTATACAAATTAAAACTATAAATATGTAGAGTATTTTTCAGTATATGACAGAAGTGTAATGAGTGAATATTAATAATCAGTATTGGTGGAACATTTTAAAACGTATTAAGACTCCTAGAAATTGCAGAGAGTTTAAACCAGGACATTGCCGTGCCGCTAAAAACAGAAGCGATGTCACGATACCTGAAATTTAGTAGTCGATACGGATACCAGTCAAAATAAGACCAAAACAATAAATCCCATCTACTTTACTCCTTTAATAAAAACATTTGAACAAACAACAGCTGTGAAAGCTGTGAGAGGAAGTCCAGCACAGATGAGAGGTGGATCGATGTCAATATAGTCATAAATGAGCTTTGCACTGGGCATATTTAATTATTAAATTAATTACTTAGTTTCTTAACTTTTCTTTACCATCTCTCAGGTGTGAAATGTTTAAGGGTGGTCTCTAATACTGGCAGTTGTCTGAGATTTTATATGGAATAAAAATAACATTTATTGATGATTTGAAATGGATCATATGTCACCTTTCAGACGGTCCCTAAGTCCTCCTACAGGAACAGGCGCGTTGGACAGACGTTCAGTTATTAGAGCTGCAAACTGCATCGTTATCTTTGGTGATTTTTTTAGGTGATCAAACCTTGAAACGTCTGCCTGAATCCGCTCTCTGACTGGGAGAAATTGAGGCTTAGACACAGAGCTGTTGAAGGAAGCAGCCGTGAAACTAACTTCACTCCGGTTTCCATACAGAACTCTTTTCTATTGGACGAGTCGAGGTGCAGCTCTTCCACGTGTCCGTCACTACCTAGCAGAACGAGTACTGACACGTTTTCACAATTTTGGTAGCGAAAGTATCTGTTCTCGTGATAAGTTGTATCTGCTGCATACCTGTTGTAATTTTTAATGTTTCCTTTGAATTATTTCTAGTCTTTAGTTTTTATCTTGTTTATATTTTTGCTGTAAAGCAGGTCTGAACCAGCAGCGCTCGCCGCTCATTCCAGCCTCTGAGGTGAGAGGCGTTTAACCGACAGTAGATCCTGTGGTTTTTTGCTCTGAGCAGCTTTTAGCTGTGACTGTTTGTAACTGTGTGAATATGAACAGGCTGTTTCTGACTCAGCGCTACATAAAGTTTGAACAGAATATAAATGATTATTAATATTCGCTGCTGATGTTTTTTATCATGTGATGCTCTTACCAGAGACAGTGACGCTCACTCCTGGTTGTCCAGTAAAATGTCCTCTGCTGTCATCAGCCTCTATTCTGAAGCGAAAAGTTGCCTCGTCTTCCTTCTGCACATCTGTGATCTGTAAAGTGCAGTTTCCCTTCTTGTCTCCCAGGTATTTGTAACGAGGGTTGTTGTTTCCTGAACTGCTGTCAAACACAGACGGGGTAGAGCCCTGACAAATCAGATGGTTCCGGCACCAGACGACTCTGATGATCTCTGTAGAAACTTCTCTTCCATCCTGACCGACAGACCTCAGAGGTGTGAAGGTGCAGAGGAGGGTGACGGTCGATCCTGTCACAGCACAAACAGGAGCTGGATAGTTCACACCAACACCCACAGCACCTGAAACAAAACAGCGTAGTGATGGCGGCTGAGTTAGAAGATGCAGAGAGAGACGGTTAAAGTGTCGTCCAGCACTGAAACAGAAAACAGAAGAACAGTTTCAGAGCTGCATGATCTTGTTTCTCGATTTGATCGGTTTGATGGGGAAAATATCAGTAAAGACGTGTAGTGTTTGAGAAAACATTAATGTAGCATAAAGTCCATGTCTTACCAGTCAGCATTAACAGGAAGCCCCAGGGAACCTTTTTGTCCCAAACTGCCATCCTTAGGTTTTTAATTGATTAAACTTTCTTCTTGTTCAAATGATCAAACTGCAGCAGAGCTGATAAAGACACCGACTGACTGTGAAACTCAGAGGCTTATATAAATGTATACGTGGTCACTTACTCACTTCCCCTTTATTTTCTCTGGAAGTCTTTTAACCTGCTGTTACAAAATATCTACACTTTACTGTGTCACTATGTTCTTCTTTCAGATGTGTTAAGCAGACTCTTTTAATGTCGTTCAGAATTTTTCAAAGTAAAAGCTCAGTTCAACTCCAATACTGCATTACGGTAAACAAGCTTCTTGTGCTTTTATTTTGTAGGCAAAGCCACTAAAGAGGAAGTGATTATGTGAGTAACTGTTTTCCATGTTGACAGTCAGTGGCCAAGTGACAATAACATTAGGTTTTACTGAAGAATTATGTAAATATAACTGGTTGCAATTCACGACCCTCACCACTAGATGCCGCTAAATCTCACACACTGATCCTTTTCGACTGACCACACACACACGCTGTCATATCGAAGTTGCCATGTAGGGCTGCATGATTTGGAGAAAGTCATATTGAGATTATTGTGGACAATATTGCGATTTGATAATAGAAGGATGTAAATGTAGAACAAATGAGTCTACTTGCTTGATTGTAAAGGAAAATGCACAAAATGCTGGAATGTTCAGTGGTCAAGTAATAACCTATTAATAACACTAATAATATGTAATTGTGAATTACACGGACATTTGAATATTTTTAAATGTGTATTTGCACGATCACTGATACTGACTTAAACCTGCGTCCTCTCCAGCAGCCAGCAGGGGGCGACTTAAACCTGCGTCCTCTCTAGCGGCCAGCAGGGGGCGCCTTAAACCTGCGTCCTCTCCAGCGGCCAGCAGGGGGCGCCTTAAACCTGCGTCCTCTCCAGCGGCCAGCAGGGGGCGCCTTAAACCTGCGTCCTCTCTAGCGGCCAGCAGGGGGCGACTTAAACCTGCGTCCTCTCCAGCAGCCAGCAGGGGGCGACTTAAACCTGCGTCCTCTCCAGCAGCCAGCAGGGGGCGACTTAAACCTGCGTCCTCTCTAGCGGCCAGCAGGGGGCGACTTAAACCTGCGTCCTCTCTAGCGGCCAGCAGGGGGCGACTTAAACCTGCGTCCTCTCTAGCAGCCAGCAGGGGGCGCCTTAAACCTGCGTCCTCTCCAGCAGCCAGCAGGGGGCGCCTTAAACCTGCGTCCTCTCCAGCAGCCAGCAGGGGGCGACTTAAACCTGCGTCCTCTCTAGCAGCCAGCAGGGGGCGACTTAAACCTGCGTCCTCTCTAGCAGCCAGCAGGGGGCGACTTAAACCTGCGTCCTCTCTAGCAGCCAGCAGGGGGCGACTTAAACCTGCGTCCTCTCTAGCAGCCAGCAGGGGGCGACTTAAACCTGTGTCCTCTCTAGCGGCCAGCAGGGGGCGACTTAAACCTGCGTCCTCTCTAGCAGCCAGCAGGGGGCGACTTAAACCTGCGTCCTCTCCAGCAGCCAGCAGGGGCGACTTAAACCTGCGTCCTCTCTAGCAGCCAGCAGGGGGCGCCTTAAACCTGCGTCCTCTCCAGCGGCCAGCAGGGGGCGACTCCAGCGGCTGCAGAAAGAAGTGTGATTGTATAGAAGTCTGTGAGAAAATGTTTCTACTTGTCAGCTGATTTATTCCCTCAGTAAACACTTTCCTGATGAGTTTCTGGTCTCAGTCTCTAGTTTCAAGTCTTCTTCAACACAGCGTGATGTTCATTTAGTAAATTATGGTCCCATTTAGAGGAACAGAGACCAGGAAGCAGGGGAGGCTTTAGGGCGGGACTACAAGCTGATTGACAGGTTGCTACCATGGTGGGAGAGAGAGCACGTCATGTTTGACTCTGTTAGTATGTTTTGTTTTAAAAGTAACCTTTTTATTTTTTATAATTTTAACTGTGGTTACATTTTAGTTCAGTTTTTTATATCCAGGATGTATTAAATAGCAGATTAAACATGTTAACATTATAACACGTAAGTCTTTGGTTTGGTTGTAACTCCTGATAAATAACGTTTGGAGGGAGGGCCAGTAAGTTTCAAACCCACACAAACAGCGTGCCACTAGACTAAGCTGGCATCATGTTTGAGTCATTTCATTCACTGTCCCTCAGCCAAAAACACAATGGGCTGCACCAGCAGATTTTCAAAAAGTCACTGCTGCAATCAAAAAGCACAATTTATACAAAAAGCACATTGGTATGTGTTTTAGCAAACTATAAAGGATTAATGTAAGCTTCAAGCATCACAGTGCAAGGCAGCGGGGAATCCAAAGTGTCTGTCAGCTCCTTTTCAAATGAAAGAATAAATCAACTGTTCAATCCGCCTGCTATTTTCCAGAAATTTGCCTGAATTACTGCAGCAATGCGGCGTGGCGTGGAGTCCATCAGTCTGTGGCACTGCTCAGGTGTTATGAGAGTCCAGGTTGCTCTGATAGTGACCTTCAGCTCTTCTGCATTGTTGGGTCTGGCGTATTGCATCTTCCTCTTCACAATACCCCATAGATTTTCTATAGGGTTAAG